AGAAGACAGAGTACCGCAAAGGAATGACTGGTGAACGTTAAAGAATTCACGGAAACTATAAAATGCTGCACATGCATTTTTTGTAGGGAAAGAACATGAAAGTACATCGCCTTAACAAAATTGCAAGGAAACCATAACTGAACTGTTAAGTAGGCTCACATTACCTTAAAAATCAATATCTAGACAGCAAGTAAAGAGCATGACTAAGCCTTGAATCCAGTATTATGGAAAAAAAGAGCGAAGAAAAGGTACGAAAAGTGAAAGGAGAAGAGCGAGAGAGGGACGCAAAACCGAATTCTTGTACATTTTGTACACCGTTTCCCTGGAGATAAAGCTCTCCTCCCATCCACAGAAGTGATTTACGTGCGTACGGGCCTAAAATTAGAATTTTTCTTTTGTAGCTGTACATTTTTACTGATTATTGAAGACGCTCGGCGGTTGAGGAAAATTCATTAATCGCATTTTCGATTCATACTACCTGTCACATCTTCTACAAGAAACCTTCCTAGTCGGTCTTTTGCAGTGATTATCATATTGTTTTTTATTGGTAATCACTGACAAATCGTCGCGATTTCTGATAGTTTATGGCAAAAAGTTTACGATGCGATGTATCGCAAGAGAAAGCCGTGCTATGAAGAGGGGAGCCAAAGGCAGGAGTAAAGTGTATTGCCTCTCGAGCGCGCTTGGAGAAGAGTCAATAAACCCCTGGAGGATCCTGTACGTCCTCCAAGAAGACATAACCACGACATGACAGCCGTTTGACACTTGACTTTCTAATCTATAAAAAATTTAAGACTTCAATATTCTCCTGTGCTGTAAATATTTTTAACGATGTACGCTTTATTATCTCCCGTCCTTTCTGCCACACGCCACACGTTTTAAGAGGCCTGGAAAGGCGCCAGTCGCACTGTATTATTCTACATACTGCCAAGCTCTCCTACTAATTAGTATAGATTAACAATCGCAGTACATAGAATTAGCAAGAGAAAGACCATCTGAAGGTTGACTCCCATTTTTGAACACACAGCCAGCTGATGGGGGTGGTTCGGTGAGCATAAAAAATGGAATTGCAAAGGGAAACAAGAACGTCATTTTGCAAGCTGATAAATACGCATCGGATAGCCGTAAAACGAGCTGTTACTCACAGCATGCTGAGACGGCAAAAAATAATTGCAAGAGCAAATTGAAATTGGTTTCACTGAAAATGACACTAAATGAATGATTTAAAATGGATATACGATTCAAACGCTCAAAAAGAGTCCTGACAAAGACAAGGTGAACATCCCACGACATGAGTTCAAATTAGATGTTCAGCGACAGGTTGTATGTTAAAACTTGTGTTACGCGAGAATGCGCAGCGCGTCCTTACGGAAGCCAACTGCACGAAAACCGGCGTCGTTAACCAAAAAGAATGCATCATGTGCTGCTCTTCTACTTGGTGAAACCGGTTAACCACTATGGATTCTCATACAGCGCCGCTAGGGAGCCGTTAGTAGCCGCAGCAGCCATTAGACCCCTCCAGCAGAAATTAGCCGTCTTCGCGGCTGCGCCTCTCATCGTCTTCTTGATTCTCGCTAAAGTGCAATGACTCTCGTAATACCGTTGTATTCATTGCCGTCATTTTCTGGTTGTGAAAGCTTGGATATGCTATAGGTGGCTAGGTTTCCTAATGCCTTCTGTCTTGTCTGCCCTTTCGAGTGCTCTTAACGTCTTTCTGGTGTGCTTTGCTTACTTTATCTTTGACATATTTTCGTAATACATTTTCTTCACGTGGACCTGCTCTATCTGGATCATTGTTTTTGCCTCCACGCATCAGCGTATCCCTCATTACAGTCTCCACTGTTCTTCATCTCACTACCACTTGTTCTGAAGCGTGAACTTCGTCTCGTTTGACTCGGCTTACGAGGAATTGGCCAGAACTCAACCCAGTCATTCCAAACATGCCATATATCACCGGGTTCACATTGAAACGCTGAATTCAAATGTATGTTTACTATCTGCCGAACGACTGTCTGGAAGGAGTTATGTCAAATATGTGTGAATCATCCGAGCAACGGATATAGCGCATTGCAAGACAGCAGCCTGAAAGCGCGAAATTAAGTGATTATGAGTTCCGATTACAAGGAAGAAGCAAATTCACCAAAAAGCTAGATAACTTTCGAAAGTTTGACCTTTTTCAAATAACTCCAGATAGTGGCTCGGCAGATAATAAACGTATATTTGCAACCAGCGCTCCAAGACGAGTCCGATGGTAAATGTTTGCTTGGAATAGTTGAGTTAAGTCTCGAATATTTCCTGTTTACTGTCGACAAGGAGAATTAAGATTTGCTGCCTTTAATATCTATGACAAGAAGAGTTCGCTTAGTCGATTTGGCAACTCGGAACGTGATAGATACCAGTGGATAGAGCTTAAATTGCTTATCTCAGATGTACCTTCTATATCTGCGATGCGTTGTTCTGAAGAAAGTTATGAGTATTTCTAATCCAAATTTTAGTGCGTTCTGAGTCTAAAATCATGATAACTTCTACACGAAAGTATGCAGACTTGAGCTAACCATTTAATAAGCATTGTAGCCTAATCTGATTTCATATAAACGTTTTCGAGCGTTTTCCAAAGATGTTCATCCACAGGTCGTCATTTCCTTTCTAGATCACACTTCCATTATATACAGGGTGTCCGTAAAGTATGTATACACTGCTTGATCGTTAATATCGCTTTTCCCAAGAAGTCTTTTGCCTTGCTTCAGGTACCATTTTGTAAAGCTGGCTTCAACCTAGATTTGCATTTCAGAACGAATCACCCATCTCTCATCATTACTGTAGGATTACGGTAGAAACTTGAAACATATGGTGTCAATGTGGAAAAAGCTGCCGTTTCAAAATTTTTCAAAAAATGTGAAAACTTGTATGATAGGGTTTTTATGGACGCTGAGTTCAATACTTAACTATTTACAAGATTGTGAAGTTTTCTAAACGGTGTAACCGCACTTTTTAGGAACATTAAAAAATGGCCGCTAACTCTTACCTGGCGTAACTCTCCAATGAAGCATCATAATAAGTTGGGAACTTTACAATTAGAATCAGCATCTCTAACTAGCCTAGTGTAAAAGTTTTCAGGCTGTTTTTTTTCTGAGGCAAAATATGGCCTTTCATGGCTCAAAACCCTCTTTGAAGTTTCTACCGTAATCCTACAGTAACGAAGAGAGATGGGTGATTCGTTCTACACACTGAAAATCTAAGTTGAAGCCAGCTCTACAAAACTGTACCTGAAGCAAGGCAAAAGACTTTTTGAGAAAAGAGATATTAACGATCAAACAGTGCATACATACTTTACGGACACCCTGTAAACAAAAAGCCCATAACTGCATCTAGAAAAACGCGTCGCAGATATTGAAAGTATATTTGAAAACAACGTTTTACGTTCTATCCATTGGTATACATCACCTTCTGAATAGCCACTTCGGCTCAGCAAACTTCTCTTGTGAATCATGCGCCATGCACATTATCCACTTCATTTGCTTGAAATCAAACAAAAATTATGTCGTTTGATGCCGTTTTGTTTGAAAGCGTTTGAAGCGGATGTGAGAATTAGTATGGACTGTTCACGCTTTGACGGCTATAGTTGAAATCTTGTACATACATAGCAGGCATTAGATTGTAACACTAGGTGTTATAGTTACCTATTATTGATCGCGCCCTAATCTCTGATCGATCATCATTCCGCATCATTTTAATCGATTTTTTCTCTTTCATTTAGAGAAAGTTTAATAGCGAGGAGGAAATGAAGATCGCATTCTGGGCGAAGGTGAATGCTTCGGAGCGCCTTGAAAATCTGGTATTAGGTTCTCACGATAAAAGGCTAACTTTGGCTCAAGGCTTCTTGAGGCGGGTACGTGTCAGGGTCACGATTTTTCGCGAAGCGGCGCCGCAGCGCGACGCCAAGCAGTACAGGACTCAGCTTGTGTCAGTACTCCTGCCGCAAGGTTAGTTTTGGCATGGATTCATGTATCTGCCCCCCTCCCCTCTCCTTGCCGTGGCGCCGTGCCATTTTAGCATCGGAGAATGACGCACAAAATTTTAGCGCGGCGAGCGGTGTGACTCTTAACCCGCAGACGCTGGCGGCGGCTACAGCGGCTAGCTTGGCAGTAGGAAACCACCCTATGCGTGATGATAAATGAGCACCTAGCTCACAAGAAACTTCAGAGCGTAATGAGTCCTGCTGGTAAAAATAATAGAGAAATAGAACTTAGCCGTAGCGATTTCAATGCAGAATGTTGATCTTCATAGATCTAGTGCTCAAAAGGCTTTAGAGACGTCCTACTTACGATTAGTTGCCCTGGCCGAATTGAACGGAGGAACAAAATTCTGTTTTTAACAGGTGATCTACCGCCATATCTTGCGTTATGCGAACCGAATGTGCTCTCACATAGGTAATTCTTTATAGTATGAACCTTCGGGGGTATAGCTATGAATTTTTGACCTTTTACAGACAATAGCCTTTGAGAGATTGCAAATTAAGCTCAGAAATCCCCAAAAAGACGACTTTTTTGAACCTTTGGTCTATGTTGATTTATGTGTGCTTCTCGAGTTTTAGCCTCGGAAAAAGTAAGCAGATAGTTAATTACCAATGATGTAGAGAGCACGAGCAAGTAAAAAGTTCGCAAGACTTTATTAAGCGGAGATAAGGTTCACTTCTTCCAACTAAAAGGGCATTTAGTTCGTACAAGATTCGAACTTTATATTCCAAGGTGCAATCTTGTACAGCTTGCTTTTCTCTGTCGAATGCTGCCGCAGAACCTATTGAGAAAAAAGAAAAAATATGAGTTATTCAGGGAGAAATAAAAGTGGTAGAAAATTATATGACACCCTAACAGAATGCAAAACAGGTTACATATTCTATTAAACAGCTTCACATCTCTCTTCATTGTAATGGTAAGCAAAGATATGATATAATACTTATTGTTCAAACAGTCATATTTGGTTTTGCATGATTATTCAAGCTACTGTGATGCCGGTAGAAATTCGCCTTGCTCAGGCCATGACTCTCCCAATTGTGTTCCTGTTTGTGCATTCCACTGTTGCAGTACACCTCGTGCCCACTGGTCATCCAGCGGATCAAAAGAGCTTTGCATTTGCATCCACTTTTCATGATCCCTATCCAGTGCTTCTATCATTGCATGTGCGAATCTCGAAGCCAAATAATTCCGAGTGGTGGGATTGCTTGCCAGACTAAAAGATAGAATCAAGAGAGAAGTAGTCAACTAAAGGCAAAGTCTCACCGAATTTGGGTATACCAGATTGCGCAGTTCAAATCTGGGGGACCCCCTTACTAGGCCAACGCCCAGGTCACTAATGACAAGTCCTTTCTTACATTGAGAAAATTGCCTTGAAGTGGCTCGCGGAGCGCATTTCGACCGCGCTGGACGACCTCTCCGTACCCCTACGGTGTTTCAGCATGTCATTCAACGGCAACGGCAGTAGGCAACGCTACCCTTCTTGATGTGTTTATTCCTGCGGTCAAAACTAGAGTGGAGCGCGAAAGCTCGTCCACGTCGCTTCTACAGGGATCTGAAAAATTGGATTCCTGGGGTTTTTGCGCAACTTAAACCCATTTAGGGTTACGCAAGCTAGAGAAGACTTCCAGTTTGCAAAAATCTCGAAATCCAAATTTTGATGAGACACTGCCTTTAAGGCGAAACAAAACAAATCAACCTATACATTCTTTCATTGAAGTCGAATATCGCCGCTGGTGACATGCCTCTTTGTCCTTCCAATGGTAGTCTTCCACTAGGTTGTGATGGTGCATCTAAAAATCCCAGGTATCCGGCAAGAGTAACAAACTCCCGTGGCTTCGTATGCATGGCTTGTAACGAACGAAGATAAGCGCTCAAAAAAAGCAAACGTCGGTTTTCGGGATCCTTGGTAAACCGACTAGAAGATATAATAATGAGGAAGATAGTACGAAGCAACGTTGAAAACTTACTCAATATCATCAAGAGAGTTTCCAATGGAAACTGGGGTAAGGAGCGCAACGAATATGAAGAAAAGGGCAAACAAAGTCATTCTTGTTCAAAAGTTGAAGTGTGACTTTATATAGAGGTTTAGTTCGACCAGTTACACTAATCAATGACTTTAGCCAATTCTTGCGTAACAAGGTGGACATGCTAAGCACAGTCTGTAGCTACCAATAGATAATCAAAGGTGATAATCCACAAAAACTTTGTCTTCTAGAAAAATCTTCAAGAGATGGTCCAACGCTTCCTATCTCTGAGCTCTTGCTATATGACCGAATAGTGATCGAAATATCAACAATGAACATCAAAGAAGACAAAAATAAATAATATGTTCTCACTTTGTGATAATTCATAAATTGAACACGCGCGACTAAGGAACATCATGCCAGTTCTGACATACTTCCAATTTGAATGCCTACTAAAATTCTAGGCCGTTAAATTCACCATCTATGCGGTTGAGCCAAGATTATTCCAAGTTCTAAATGCTCTTTTTGAGAATTCCTAATACGATGCAGAAACCCCTTTAAAACCTCATGTGTTGCTTGTACAGTTAAGAATACCCGAAGCAGGCACTACTCATGATCTTGCGTAAAACGCATTTCATATTCCTTACATAAAAAGAGGGGGTGATGCAAAGTGTAGCGATATGGAGTGATTAATTGTAAACTTTCGCTTATAGCGAAACCGGAACCAAATATTACGTAACATTTTACTGCAAGACCGGTATTATCTCGTGATTGTCAAGCAATAGAAAATAGCGTGTAGTGATGTGGGAGAAACCAAACTTTTTGTGATCCCTTTCTGGATAAAAAAGTCTGTGGTGTTGGTATTGCTTTGATTTCACTAATTGAAGCGCTAGAAAGTCAACGGCTTTTTACTATACAGGGTGTCCAAAAAGATGTGCACACTATTTGGTTGTTAATAACTCTCTTATTTCCACGTGTTTTGCCGAGCTTGAGGTACCATTCATTAGAGCAAGGTTCAGCTTAGATTTGCAGTATGGAGCGACTTAACAGCACCTCTTCATTACTGTAGGATTACGGTAGAAATTTCGAGGAGGATTTTAAGGTATTGAAGGCGGTATTCTGCCTCAGAAAGAAGGCCAAACAAGCCCAGAAACCCTTGAACTGGGTCAATCGAAGTTGCTAATTCTACAGGGTGTCCCAAAAAGATGTGCACACTGTTTGATTGCAAATAACTCTCCTGTAATGAAGTGTTTCGAGAAGCTTTAGGTACCATTTTATGGAGCGAGGTTGAACTTAGATTTACAGTATGGAGCGAATTATTGACCGCTCTTCATTACTGTAAGATTACGGTAAGAACTTCCAGCATATGAAACCATTGTGAAATATACCACATGACAAAATTTTTTTCAAAAAATCTGAAAAATCGTGTACTAGGGTTTTCGCGCATGCTGATTCCACCTAAGTACTTTTTATGAGTGTTTTCAGCTTTTTTGACGGTGTAATTACATTTTTAACAAATATTTGGAATTGAGTTACTACTATTTACTGGGGTAACTTGGGGAAGAAGCATCACAGTACAGTATGAATTTCATATTCGAAATCAGCGGCTTTCAATTACCATAGTAGAAGAGTTTTTGGCTTGTTTGGTTTTGCTCTGAGGCAGAATATGGCCTCCAATGGCCTAAAATTCGTTGTCAAAGTTCCTACCGTAATCCTACAGTAATGAAGAGTGGTCGATGATTCGCTCCATACTGTAAATCTAAGTTGAACCTCGCTCTATAGAAAGGTGCCTCAAGCTCGGCGAAAGACTTGAAAGCAAGAGAGTTATTAACGATCAAACAGTGTGCACATCTTTTTGGGACACTTTGTATATGAAAATTGCACGTAAGTATACTGTTTCTTTCACGAGTTATTTCAGATTTAGGTTAACAACTGATTTTCCAATGTTTGTCAGAGATGTGAATACGCCATCAAGAAAGCTCGGTAAACTGGTGGAAAGTCATGTAGTGAAATCAGCACGCCTGATTGATACACAAATTTTTAGATATTTTTGGAATTATTTCATCAAAAGGCTTATTTCACAGTGACGCTGCATGCTGAAAGTTCATATCACGGTCTTACAGTAACGAGGAGCGATTGATGATTCGCTCCATACTGTAAATCTAAGTTTATCCTCGCTCTACAGAATGGTAGCTCAAGCTCGGCAAAGGACGTGAAAGCAAGAGAGTTATTAACGATCAAACAGTGTGCACCTTTTTAAGACACTTGTATGTACACAAATTACGCTAGCAAATTCAGAATTAGATATCTCATTGAATCAAAATAACTGTTGCGAGGATTTGTTACCATTCAGAACTTGAGATTATTTTCCATATGACATTTAATTCCAGTTCATCCAATAAAGTTTATAAATTTTAGCGTGACGGACAGATGGATTTCCTCGAATCTGGCGAGGAGGGAGAAAGCAGTGAGTTGTCTGTCACTTCCTCATATCCGAACTCTAAAATTAACTTTTTTGAAGAACTAAGGCACCCATAAGAGCGCAAATATACGTCTGCAATCCAGTGAATAAGCTGTATAACCACATATGCATATGTAAGAAAAAAGTAGAAACGCTGAAGGTAAATCTGACCGTCGCAAAACACTTTTTTCGTATTTTTTAGCCAACAAAAAAAATCGCAGTAAAAGTAATCATGATTGTTTGATTTGAAGACTATATGATCAAGCGAGTTGGGGCGCAGGTATTGTAGATGGAGCTACGGAATTTCTCGAGCTTTGAACTTTTTCAAATTTAGACTTCAAACCTTGTGTTGGTTGAACTTTGTGCAAATGTCTAAAAAACAACTTGTAAAGCTTCGTTATAAATCATAACGGTAAGAAATATTGAAAAGATCACGAGACGACCTAATAAAAGCGACATCGCTGTCTTCCTTCGTGATCGCTTCCGCTCAAGTTTGTCGTAAGGATGGCAATGACAAAGCCTCCAGACGGCTTTGTTTGTTTTACTCAAACTTTTCAATTTTGCTAATTTGTAAGGGTTGGGTGATTTTGAAAGCCCTCTCATAATTTTTGGTTGAGGGCGCTGAGTGGTCTTGGTAGCTCGTCTTACGTTTACGTTTTTTCAGCAATAGTACCGAATTCTATTTTGGAGAAGAGAAATGAAAACAGAAACTCGTCTTTAATGCAAAAATTTGCGACGCAAAATGGACACCCTTACTCTTCAGTTACCCTGCATGTTTGGCTCATAGGCCTAACATCTCTTCCCATCCGAGTAGTTGGCTCCATTTTCTAGCGGGCTGTTGCTTTTTCTTCAAAATTGATACCGAACAAATTCTATTTCCGCTTCTGTGGCACCGTTTCCGATGCGTGCCTAAGAAAAAACAATTCTTTTCTCGTTTCTGAGACGCAGTGTCTTACCACTACCTCACTCCCTACTATCATACTTTAGGTAAGTTCAATTCTCAACGCCGTGTTTACTGGTGTGCATCTCACTCTGTGGTTTGAAGACAGTGTCCCAGCAAAAAGTCGATTTTACGCTTTTGTGCTTACCTGGATCTATTCGCTATGCTGAATCCAAAAATCCACACTAAAGAGCGCGAAAACGGCAAAAAGGGCTCTAACGCAGGAGGGGAAACAGCAGGTGTGCGGGGTCTTCCTCGCTATGGATTCACGCTCCCAACTTCCAGAACGATCTTCTCGATTCCGGTAGCCGCCCTGACATCGTCACCGGCCAGTGCGAACGCGTGGCTTGAACATGGAACTGAGAATATCGCTCCTGGAGCTGGGATACTGACTCCACAGAGGGGAAAGCCGCGCCTACCGGCTCATTTCACTCTTACGTTAGAGCCCTTTTTCGCCGTTTTCGCGCTTTCCAATGTAGATTTTCGGATTCTGCATAGCAAAAAGCCCAAGTGAGCACAAAATCTCAAAGTCAACTTTTTGTCCGGACCTGCCTTTGAAGCTTCTCCATCCTGCTCACGGTAAATATGCGATAATGGATAAATATTAGGTTGTTACATAAGTCTTGTTACACTTAACTTCTAACGGCGATAAGTCATACACCTCATAGTCTTTGCAGGACTCCAAGGTACCATTCGATAGAGCAAAGCAAGCTCTACAAAACGGTCTGCAAAAGTTCGCACCAGCTCCGACCCACCGTAAGTTTGCACCCAATATCTGAGTCGTAGTGAAATTCAAAAAATCGCGAAAAATTCACATCTTTGTTCAAACAAATTGGATCATATTATTCAACATACGGATCTCCAACTTGCTCAAAAAAATTGCACACTATATCAAACACTCATATGTACCGTTGCTGTATTTTTTACTTATCTAGAAATCGAGAAAAAGAATTTTTTCTAATTTTTACAAAAACGAAGCTATGCTGTTTCTATTCATGTAGCTGTATACTACAAGCTCTTAGAAGTATGACCGTAAATTTTTAGCTTCCCAGAAGCCCTAGTTTTCGAGAAATATCAAATTTAGCTTCAATCACTCGGGTGTTCAATGCTAAATTAGGTATTTCTCGAAAATTAGGGCTTCTGGGAAGCTGAAAATTTACGGTCATACTTCTAAGAGCTTGTAGTATACAGCTACATGAACAGAAACAGCATAGCTTCGTTTTCGTAAAAACTAAAAAAATTCTTTTTCTCGATTTCTAGATAAGGAAAAAATACAGCAACGGTACATATGAGTGTTTGATATAGTGGGCAATTTTTGTGAGCAAGTTGGAGATCCGTAGGATTTGTTTGAACAAAGATATGAATTTTTCGCGATTTTTTAAATTTCAGTACAACTTAGATTTTGGGTGCAAACTTACGGTGGGTCGGAGCTGGTGCGAACTTTTGCAGACCATTTTGTAGAGCTTGCTTTGCTCTATCGAATGGTACCTTGGAGTCCTACAGAGACTATGAGGTGTATGACTTATCGCCGTTAGAAGTTAAGTGTAACAAGACATATGTAACAACCTAATATCTCAATGTGCTTGTAATTTGTCTAAAGTGCTCAATTACATGTTAACAAATCGTGTTGTCGCTAATCACCTCGATTACGACGAGCTCAGTGCAACCGCCCAGGTGCGGTC